AAGGAAGGGAAGGAGTCAAGGAAGGCTGAGGGCTGAAAGCTGGGCCTGGCCCCAGCAGCCCTCGGAGAGGTTCCAGTTTTGTGAAACTTCTCAGAAGAAACACCTGCTAAGAAAGAAGAAAAAGAGGGACAGTGCCTTTAAAGTTATAGACAGACAGATGTCTCTTTAATTGATTCCTTTTTTTAAAATACTTTTACTGATTTCAGAGAGGAGGGGAGCAGGAGAGAGAGAGAGGAACATCAGTGACGACAGGGAATCATTGATTGGCTGCCTCCTGCACGCCCCACACTGGGGATCGAGCCCACAACCCAGGCATGTGCCCTGACTGGGAATCGAACTGTGACCTCCTGGTGCATAGGTGGACGCTCACCCCTGAGCCACACGGGCTGGGCCTGATTCCTTTCTTGAATTTAATTTTTGATTACAGTGTATTACTTTGACATATGTGATCAATCATAACAAGCCCAGGTCTTTTGCTTTTGGTGAGGAACTTAATGGGAATAGGAATGCCTCAACTTTTGTGAGCAAAACGTGTCATGCTTTCAGAGACTGTAATTTTCCCACCATGCCATCACTACTGCTCAAGAAATAGATGTTAATTCTATGTAGGTGGTTCTTAACTTCATGCTTCATATCTGAGACTCTGCATAGGTTTATTAGAGAATATCCTTCATTTTAAGTCTGTTTAGAAACCTGTTCTCTACTGATACTGTATTTTAATGATTTTTGTGTTATCAATTCCAAAGTTTCCCATTCATTTTGTTTTCTTGATGTATTTAGAAAATTTTCTTTTAAAAAATTGTTTCAAATTATTTTTATTTTAATGGGCCTTTTACCTATCTTTAATAAAATATGAACTGTATTCATTTTCAAATTTAAAATATTCAAATGTTACTAACCGAGTTGTTGCCATATTCTCCTTTATTCATACATTAAAAAAGAAAGAACAGCTTGCTTTCTTCATTATCCATTGGCTCCTCAACCTGGGAAAAAACAGGTGTTTTTTTTTACACCTACTGATAATACTTTTCAGGTCTCTGAAAGGAACCCGGGGGTTCAGAGTCCTCTCCCTCAGTTGATTTGTGGGGTTTAATTAAGATGTAATACGTGGAAACAGTTGGGAGATTAGATTTCCTTTGGTAGATAAGAACAGCTCTCCAGGAGTTCAGGTTGTCCAAGGATGCAGTTGGCTGCCTTTGGGAATAATGAGTTTACTGTCCCTGGAATTACCCGAGTATGTGCT